TTCCTTAAGCCTCTCGCTTCTAAGACGGTCTTTGCTGAAGCTGAAGGTCGTTTAGGGGGAGTCTCGCTGCTGAAGCTCAGGGTTTCGAGAGCTTTTCGCTGCTGGCACTGCCAGTGAGTCTGAGTCTGAGGTCCAGTGAGAGTATCTTTGCTGAAGCTGAAGGTCCTTTAGGGAGTCTCGCTGCTGAAGCTGAGGGTTTAGGGAACTTTTCGCTGCTGGCACTGCCAGTGAGTCTGAGGTGGAGGGGCTCTGCTGCCAGAGTATCAGGTCCTTTAGGGAGTCTCGCTGCTGCTGAAGCTGAGGGTTTAGGGAACTTTTCGCTGCTGGCACTGCCAGTGAGTCTGAGGTGGAGGGGCTCTGCTGCCGCCGATTTCGCTTAAAATTTCGCGCGATTTCAGTTGAAATCATGCGAAGTCTGCCTGAGTGTAGTGATTCGGTGACTGTTCCCCGGCCGCAAAAACCCCTTTAGGAAGGTGTATCTGAGCGCCGCCAAAAACCCTTTAAAAAGGAGAATCGGATGCTCCCATAATGAGGAAAGTGTATCCCACCCAACCAAAACCGTGTGATAAGGTGTATCGGATGCCCCCAAAATCCCTTCAGAGGCAACAGGAAAGCCTTTAAGAAGGTGTCTCGGAGGCTTTGTATGGAGGCCCCAGAAACCTTTTAGGAAGTTGTATTTGAGCCTCCAAAGCCCGCTTAACAAGGGGTATCGGAGCAGCCAACAACCCTCTACGCAGATGTATCTGTATCGGTATCACTCTTCAAAAGCTTGCGTTCACTCGGGGAAAGGGGCACGGGACCGGACCAAAGGCATGTATTTAACGACCTTGGATTGCTAGCGTTCAGGGGGGGGGAAGCAAAAAGTTTGATGATTTTTGGGGGGTCGATTGCTTCTTGTTGGCCTCAGCGTTCAAGGGTGTTTACCGCTTCCGGTCGTGACTTCTTCGCCTTCGCTTGAACCGGGGCGTTCAAGGGTGTCTAGCAGCTTCCGGAAGGGTCGGTTCGGCCTTTCACCGCTGCCTGTACGGCAACCTGTGTTGAGAGTGCCAAGCCCGATGATGCCTTCCATACTTTACACTCCAAACCTGAGAACTTGAGCCTTGCAACGCTAATCTGCCTGCAAGGGGTATGATGCCAGGCCGGGTCGAAGGAGTGGCGTGGTTTGCACAGTTTCAGACCCAGCAAAACGAACCACACAATGCACAGATTCTTGGGCCCGTGCTTTGCACACTCCGGAATAGCCCTGCCGTCATGAGTCTGTAGGGTTTCAGGGCTCAGGGCGTGAGGGTTTTATTGTTTCAGCTGTCGGGTCAAGCATCATCTGGCTTGTTTCGCAGCTGAGAGCTTCTTTGGAGCAAAAAGAATCGTCGATGGTTGCTTACGACCGCAGCGATTTTACTCCACGTCGTCACGTAGATTCGACGGAGACACAGCATTGCTCGAGCAGGCCCCGCGGGGACATTTTCACAGTGACTCTTTGCGCTTTGGACGGCACCTGCACATTGTCAGGTCCCACCACTGCGATCCGGGGTCCTAGTTCCGGTATTGCAACTCGCACATATTCTGCTGTGAAGCTTCGTCGTGGGCAGTTGCTTCCTTTGTTGAGAGCAGCCAAGCAGCGACGTTAGCTCAGAAACTGTGCACATTCGCAGTCCCTGCGCTCCAGAGGTGCTTGTGATTTCCGATGCCGCGTGGACACGGACGACGACGCAGGAAAGAAGTCGAAGAAGATTCCGCGGAGGCGCGCTTGACGCTGGAGTGTTGATTGTGCTTGCGTGTCATTTCAGTCACTTCCAAGCATGCATGGAATCGCATGTGGATTTGCCCGCGTAGCGGGACTAATGAAGCACGTCACCGATGTAATGTGCATGCAGGCGGTGGAACGTGCGCAAAGAACAGTGATCTTCTCCAAGACAAAGTGACTTGACTCTCGAAGCGTGCTTTTCCTTCAAAGTAAGATTTGCGAGCCGGGCCCGTGAGCATTGCGAAGGATGTGCAAGTTCCATATCCTTGGAGCTTGTACAAAAGGCGTCGCTGCCCCAGCTTGACGTGACAGGTTGCCATCATGAAAGAGCAGTTGACGACAATCCGGCCGGTTAAGGACAGCTGCAAGTTTGCCCACCGCAAAGATGAGCTGCAAGACCTTCCAGATTTAGCGTGTACGAAACTTTGTGACTCGGCCGCATTTGCATATGGGCAGATCAGGGCGGCTTACGGTGCATTATAAACGTGCAAAACGGTCATTGACCCTGCTGTCACTGCACACACAGCGGTGGCCAAAGTCAAACCATCCGAAGATGCCTGTCCGTGAACCTTACTGTGCAAAAGTGCATATCGCAGCAGGGGCAGGAGGTAGCAGCATACACTGCTAGATGGTAGCAGTGGTCGTCGTGCTGGGAGCAGGAGCAGGACAGGAGGAGGAGGAGGAGGAGGAGAAGCAAGAGGAGGAATGGCCGTAGCAGCCATAGCTATCGGAGTAGTCCTGAGGTGCTTCGAAGGTTGAATCGCAGCAGCAGTGACAGAAGTAGTTGTCGCTGGTGGCGCGTTTGCAGTTGCAGACCGTGTGTCTAACGCTTGCTGCCGAAGTTTGAAAAGCAGAAGTTCTCTTTCCTTCAACGGATACAGGTCTGGCAAGCGGAACAGTGGCAACAAAACCAACGCGGTGAACAGCAGGTGCTCTTGAAACCTGTGAGCTGCCTGTCTGCTGGAAAGATGAGGTAAGATGCTGATCAGCACAGGCTGCTGCACGGATTGATGTGGCGCTGTGTTGTTCAGCGGCGAGCTCCGCAATCGGCAGGTTCGTGCGATGATCCGAATTGCCGATATGCACATAATCGCGCAGAGCTCAAAGAAATACCGGGATTGGTCCTGGCCTTACCGAGCCTTACCGCCCATGTCCTCAGGGCAGCTGCTTTGCTCATGCTAATGCAACTGAGCCCTCTCCGCTTATGGACCAGCTACGGGAGACGGAGGTCGGGCGTGGATGTGCGGGACAGGGTCCTCGTGCAAAGGGCAGATCTTGAATGAAGAGCCATCGGCAGGCCTCTCAATTGGCCGATGCAGCTAAAGCTGCGGCCAAAGCTGCTGCAGAGAGCCGTAGTCCTAGTCAGCTGGACAGTGTCACAAGTTGCCATGCATCTCTTACTTCATTCCTTTATGGCCACTGCCAGGCAACAACCCGCAGCGTCAGAGAAGCAACGAGGAAATCCAGCGCAAACTGCGTCAGCAGCTGTCCTTGCTGGAGCCGCTTGGTGTATCCATTTCTGCTAGACCTGTTCGCACATCTTTGTGTTTGCTACACTGGGCTGCACCTGGCTTTGCCAAGCTGCCTCAGGCAAACAACTAGCTCCAGTCAGCCAGCACATGTAGCGCAGTCGACCAGAGTTCAGGACGTTTTGTTAGCAGGGTCATTCTTCGCTTTTTGAAAGCATGATAGCCGGAGCAGGAAGCTTCCAGTACTCTGCCAACCGGCTTGACACTGCAAGCAGTGCCAGCCACGCTTGCGCCTGCACCCCGTTTTTTGCATTTGCGAGTGGCGCAGTCGCCGGCCAAGGATGCAGTTTCAAATCTTGTTGGGTTTCTGTGGTGAGGCCTGGCGGCGAGGTCGCACAGCTGTTTCCGCTGCAGTTGGCGAGGGGCTTGGTTTTCTCACGAGGGACTCCAATGCAATTCTAGCTGGTGTTGTTTCTGCGAGATGTTGCTCTGCAGGGCGGTGCTTTCCTGAGCCCGGCACCCTTGGACGTCCTCAGCTTGCAAATTTCGACAAACGAGTAGCAGCAGGCACAGTTGCAGTCAACTATCCAAGGGCGGACTTCTGGTTAATTTGCCCGCACCCCAGCCAGATGGAAACTCGTGACTCTCAGCATTGATTTCTTGTCTGCTACTGCAGGTCGAACATGGTTGCTGCACAGGTACAGGCAGCACCTGCGGTGCCCTGGGTCCGGGTCCCAGGTGGCACACGAGTGAGCGCAGATCTGGAACCAGCGACATTACAAGCAAGATCGGGGGCAGTGTGTAGCAGCGCATCCATCATCATCCACCATGACGCGCCGTACAAGCTTGTCGTGTTCCTCGATCGGTGAGCAGGGAAAGCCAAGGCCGCTGGAAGACAAGACCTAAAGCCCGATTATCAGAGTCTGTCGTCCATTTTCCGCGGGCACACACAGGCAGAAAGAGACAAGTGCAACTGTTTCGTCGTTATTGTGCCCGGGCTAATCAGCGATTCGCGCCATAGTTACCATGTTCATGATTGTGATTTGTGTGTGCCTGGTTTCCCCTGTCGACCACAACATATGGTCGCAAATGCTGAACTGCAAACAAGGCCAAGTCGTGGGATGAGTGCTCTTGAATAACAGGGCACCAACCAAGCCGTCGAAGGCCACACCGTTGATCGCAGCTCCCACACAGCCGGCGCCGATTGCTGCCGGGTCCGGGACCGCCCCGGGAGCCCGGATCTCTCCAAGGTGCGTGACAAAGCCAGCACCCAGAACCACTCACGACATGCAACTGCTGCAGGTCAGAAGCACCTCAACCTGCCTCATGCCCAGATCGTTGTAGCATTGGCGACGCAAGCCGCTGGACACACTGCCTCGAGTGCGAGGCCAAGACCAAAGCTTTGCCCACGAAAGCAGGTTCCGCAAAGGCATGCGCCACAAAGCAGGACAGTCGCATGCCGCGACGCAATGCAGGGAATAGTACAGGACATGGGGTAACACGTACTCGTCATAGCAACTTAGACAGAGCTCATGGCAATCCGCAGGAGAAGCGCCAAGGGCACAAGTCGGCATCAGGAACGTTGTCTTTCGCCTGTGTGCAGACGGCTCTGGCAGCGCTCGAGCCCTTGCATGAGAGGAGTTCTCGAACAGCATGGGACCCAGACCCAGGCTGGGAAGGCCCAGACCAGACGCGTCGCTAAGGTTTCGAGACTAGGACGACTAGGACCACGACTGCTCACTATGGCGCCAAGGAGTCAAAGGACTTTCTAGGTGCCAAGCTGCTTAGCTGCCAGGTCTTGTCGCTCGCAAGCGAGTTGCCCAAGCCGGACACCCATCTGGGCGCCCATCTCAATGTCGACACGCTCCGCAGCAGCAAGGCTTTCGTGGTTTTGCTGCTGAATGCCCAGACAACCCGATAGCAGAAGGATGACCCTTCTCCTTCCGATGGCTCGTGCAGGGAGTGCATGTAAGATTGAACGGAAGTCCTGGTTTTTCACTGCACTGCATCCACGACCAAGGCGACTGCAAGATCAAGTGCAGACGGCGCAGCAACTGCAGATGCAGCTGCAGCAACAGCAGGAAATACAAAGGCAACTGCGAACGTAGCTCGGAAGCTGTCTACTCTGGATCAGATTCAAGCGACGGTGAAAGTGCTACATGCCTCACAACGAAGGCAACTGTCCAACCAAACTTCGAAGGAGAAGCGGAGCCAGGCATCTTAAATGCAAGACAGGTATGCAGTATGCAAATGTCTATGCAGGGAGGGACCGTGTGGACACCTTGACATTGCAGCTGGCGGCCTGACCAAACATGCGAAAGTCCGACGTCTTCCAAGTTTGCACACAGTCATCCCAGGAGCCGAAGGCAAAGTCACCACAGCTTCTCGGCACCTGAGATAGAGATAGATGCGATGTGGAGCTGAAGTCTACTCTGGCGGTTTTGCCGCCCTGACCCACGCACGTGTCCAAGCCTGTGGGCAGAACAGTGAATCGCCACGAGGGCATCAGACGGCATAGCGAAGACATCCGTAAATGTCAGGCTCTGTCCTGCGACTCCAAGTCAAGAGCCCCGCAGCAACCAGCAGGCAGGATGCACCGCTTTCCTCAGATCTCCCCCGCCCACACGCTCCGAAACCCTAAACTTAACAACCAAGCCCTAAACACCCAAAACCCTGAAAAAGACACTTCGCCTCCTACCATCACGGAGGTTTTGCAAAGCGAGTGGAGTGCTGCGGGCAGCTCACATGAGTCGAACCCGCGGTTAGGGGAGCCTTGCCTGGTTTGTGAGACGTGTCGGACTTCTTCTTAGGGGCTCATGATCAGGATCTTCTTTCTGGTGGTCTGTGTCGGGGAGCGCTTATTTTGTCGGAAACACCACATCATGAGCAGAGTGTTCTTGTTGCCCTTGCATGTTGACGGAGACGGAGTCTAGCTGTCCGAGTCCGGGTCAAAGGTCAAGAGCACAACTTTCGATGTGGATGCCGATACATCGACTCCGACAGCTCCGTACCACCGCATCAATACGTGGAGCGGAGGTTTGAACGAACTGGAGGAGGACTTCCCCAGATTTGTTGGTCAGGGATGGAAGCCTCAGGAGTCAGAAGACGCGCAGCTTGGAACATACAATGCCGCCGAGCTTTTCTGCTTCATGTGACTGACAGTATCCCACCCTGGCCCAGAAGTGTACTCTGCAGCAAGCCCGAGTACGAAGTTTGGTGGGAAGGAGGTTATATGATTCGATGATTTCGCAGGACTTGCTGAACGATCCTGTTCTCGAGCTTGGCCCACTGGACAAGGTATCGGCAGACCCAGCACTTCGAGAGTTCGGGTTGAAGTTGTCTAAGTCTACGTGAGTGCCAACAAGTGCGGTGCAGATCCCATTGCCGTAAATTGTCACAGCGACTGCCCTTCTTTCTGATAATCGATGCCGACGTTGCAGGTGGAGCAAGCCACCCTTCAGCTTGGGCCCTCTCCAAGGCCACCGCAGAAGGCACAGATTCCGGCTGTCTTGTTGAAAGGAATGCAACAATCGCAGTTTATCGAAACTCAGCTCGTCTCACTCGTTGAGGAGCTGCTGCGTGGCCTCCATTGTGTCCCGGAACACCAGCGTTTGAACGGGAAGCGTGTTGGCATGTTCATAGTTCATAGGTCGTAGACATTCGACATGCGGCCATATGCTTCAGTCTCGTCAGCCTAATATGTTCAGGATGGGTCGTCAGATCTCCGAGTGCTCCGAGACGTCCGTGACGTCCACCGACACCCCCACGCGCACCGAGAAACGGCATCAGGCCGGCATTTCGTGAGACCTCCCCGTCCCTGCCTTTGGCCGCATGCAGGACACGCCGCTTGGGTGGGGAAGGAAAGCCGACAGCCTGGAGCCTCTTTTTCTCCGCTCCCGAAGTGAAGTCCATCCTTGCGATCTGCACCGCTCAGGCCGAGGGTCCTCGCCCTTCTCCGCGGTCCACGAAGCCCCCGAGCTTGAGGCCGCTTTGGTCCACCGCGTGTGGGCATGGACATTGGATGACATTTCGCATGTTACCGCCATGAATGCATCGACTGGCCTTCACAGAACGGGCTGCTGCTTCTGGATTCATGTTGCCGACATTCGTGCCCGACAGATGCCATTTTCTTTTGAGGGAGGAGCTGGGACTATTTCCATTTAGGCTATGCAGCGCAAAACACCAAGCTGTCAATCCGCCTTTGTTCCTTCCTGGAGCGCCAAAGTGGCAAGAATAACAAGCAACTTTGAAAAAACAGGCGCCTTTAGGACAGTAGCAGAAAAAAGCAACTGAGCCAAGAAAACAGCAACTTAGCCGTAACTTAGCTAAAGTGGTGATTTGCATATAAAACATTCTTGTGAAAGGCTCGGTTTCGACTGTAAAAGACACCGGCAGCTTATTTGTCGTTCGTGACTGGAAAACTTGAGTCCCTGAACGGCCCTGAATGCTTTAAATGGAACCCATGCCGGAAGCCAGAGCGAAAATCAGAATAACGACCGCGCATGCACGGGCAATCAGCAGGTTAATGGTCAACCTAAACATACCTACACCATGCACACAGGAGTCACCTGATCTACCCCAAAACGCATAGAGGATGCATCAACACCCCCACCCTCGAAACCGACACATCAACCCCATAAGCCCAAAATCGAAACATGTGCAGGAGGCAACATTCTGGATATTATATGGCACTACTCTTTACTTCAGAAGGGCTAGCTGGAGAACCACCTTATACGATGCAGCAAGTACACAACTTGAAAAACATAGCCACCTACAACAATCACCATCGCAGAAACTTTCGAGTGTGAGGTTCACAGGCTGCCAACGTGTCAACAGTTTCTGGGCGCTAACTTCAGGAAGCGCTTCTTACTCTAGTGTTTCGGGGATAAGGCCTGGGGGTCTGAACTAGTCGGCTCGCTTTCGGTCGCGATGCTCATATCTCATGCCAAAGACAAAATGTAGGAGAGATGGACAATACTTGTACTTGGGAGGCAATGTAGTGGTATGCGGTGTCTGTTAGATGAGTAGTGGGTTCCTTGCAACCCCAATGCGGTACATCCCAACTGCACAGCTCTAAACCTAACTTCTGCATTCTTCCCCTAATGCGGCATGGGTCGGTAATCATTATAGTCAAACTGATGTCCTATGCAACTGGAACGTTTTGTGTTGATCTATAATTGCGGCGGCGCCAGGTTCAGTCGGTGATTCGTGTTCGAACCTTTTTGGTGCTTTCGGGTGAGTTCATGTGCGTTTATTGCAAATTTTGCCAAAACAGCAGTGGCGTAAAATCGCGAAAAGTGGCGTAAAATCGCGCAACCTGGCGTAGAGTCTCGTAGGTCTGAAATCGGTCAAATTTTGATTGGTTTCAGTGCTTTGCGACAGCTGCCCATCGTCGAGATTTGCCTTTTTGTGTCCATTAACTCCGAAGCATGGTTGAGCCGCTCTCCATTCCTCGCTCTGTGCTGTTTCGGTGCGGCTTGGAGTTCGTGTGTTAGCAGCAATCCACCACTCTGACCAAGTCGGGCTACTGAGACCAATTTAGAGCTAATTACAGGACTGTTGGTAGCATGTGCAAAACATGCTGACGAGGACGAGTTCTCAAATTGGGGATGGATTGCTTTACCAGGTTGGGGTGTGGAGGCGGCAGTTAAACAGTTTCATGTACATCTGCACGACGGGCTGCAACCAACTAGAGCTCGCTCTAAGAATGCTCATGTTACGCAACTTTGAGGCGAATATATGTGACTGTATGCCTGCTATGCCAGTGCGATGTTGTCGCTGTCGTTGTTGTGTGCCTGCTCTGCCAAAACCGCACAAGAACTTGCTCGCCGGTTTGAGCATGAACAGCAACGAACTTTGAGTTCTGCGAGCTCAAAAGCGATTTGCAGGACTTGCATGAGAAGTCCTATCTCGTGATGTAGAGTGTACTCGCTATACGGTTTTCCGGCAAGGATTCGGCGTGTCAAGCTCGGAATTCACATTGGAGCTTAAGGCATAAGGCTTCTGGTTCAGTCGCGGGCTCACAAGTTTAATAAAGAGATCACCTAACCCTGTTCTATACTACAATGTCTGCCTTTCCATTGCCCCATACGTGACCCTTTGCTCCCGCATCCTTGCTTCGATTTATCTTGGCGGCTGGGGTTGAACATCATGAGCATCGCGACCGAAAGATGTCGATAACTTCAGTCCCCCCAACCCTTGGCCCCGAAATGCTCGACTGAAGCAAGCCCGCAGCTACGCACATAGAAATAATCCATAGTTTAGTGGCCCGTGTGCTTTTCATCCTCAGATCCCAAAACCAGAAATTGCCACCGAGTCGAAAACTTGCAACTTTTCATCGGTGGCAGCTATTTCTGCAACTTGGTTTTCCAGGTTCATCCGTGCAGATCCTTGCTCTCAGACTGGACTGCTGATGTAAGCCTTGTCCTGTTGGAGGTCGAATTGAAACCTGCGATTTCGCATCTGAGGCAGGGACATCAAGGTTGGTACGTGGCCCTGCTCGACGATGTCAAACTCAGTGGACTGGACTGACTACTCCCGGTCGTACATGCAAATGATCAGCTTCTGCTTGCACTTTGTCGACTCGGAGTTGGCAAAGGTGAACTGAGACAGGGTCTCAGCTGTGTGGTACCGATGCCGGGCTTCGTGATTTTCGGTGGCCAGGAAAGAAAGGCTGTAGAAGTTCGGGTTGTCAACGAACAAAGTTGTTGCGGCAGCAGTCGAAGTACTGCCTTGGGCGGCATCGCCAAGTTGCGCTGCTCCGTCCTTGGAGCCTCCTTTTCCATCTTTGCCGTCTTTTCCATACTTGCCTTTTCCTTTGCCCTTCTTTCCTTTCTTTCCTTTGCCCTTGGCTGCATAGGACTCTTCTGCATAGTCCCAGGACCAGTCATCCCAAGATGACTCTTGCCAGGAATCATCGTGCCATTGTCCATCTGCTTGCCAGGCGTCTGTGTTGTTGTCTGCTAGAT